ATGCGGGACTCGATCCAGGGACTCCAGGATCATGACCTGAGCCGAAGGCAGTTGCTTAACCAACTGAGCCACCCAGGTGCCCTGCTTTATTTTTCTTTACAGCACTTGACTTATTGTATACGCATTATATTATCACACATATTTGTGTTTGTCTGTCTCACTCCACTAGAATATAAATTCCATGAGAACAAAGAGTTTGCCTGTTTGCTCAGTCCTCTATCTCCAGGGGATAGAACACTGTCTGGCTCATAGTAGGTCCTCAAGAAATTAGTTCAAAGGGTGAATGAAGAGAACCAGAGCGGCTTATTACTAAGTTACTGGGGAAGGTGGTCTCTCTGGGAAGAGTATGGATTAAGGTAAGTTGGGGCAACCTGTAATTCTTTAGGTTTGTATTTCCACATGGAAAGACTTGAGTTGAACAACATTTCAGGCTTCTTTTGTGACCTCACTCATATCTCTCCAGGGGAGGAGTGATTTATCTGGCAAATTGGGGACAAGGAACTGAGTATGCCTGGTTCAGTAGCATCACCTTCCTCTTCTCCCCCAGCTTTTTTGTTGGCTCTGACTACCTGCATAGAGGCTACAATCCGGTCTGCTCATACAGATGAGTGAATTAAAAATTGAAAGAAAGACATGTTCAAGGAGAGATGGGAGCATAAAGGAGGGACATCTAACCTAGTCTAGGGTCACCAAGAGAGGCTGCCTGGAGGAGTTGCCTTCCGAGATGAGTCTTCAAGAACCAGGAGATGTTACCAACTGAAGGACTGAGGGGGTATGGATTCTATCCTCGTGTTTGTTTGTTTTGTTTTACTTTTCTATCCTCGTGTTTATAACTTCCAATGACATTTCTCTTCAGCCTTAGTCTTCCCACATAAACAAGTCATTAATAACATTTATTTAAGGGTGTGCTATTTGGCAGGCACTGTGCTGAGGATTTAAAGATGACCAAGTAAGGTATAGGGAAGGCATATAAAGAAGTAAATACTGTAAAATGCTACTGATACTGTGACAGAAGTCGGTGCTGGGGCACAAAGAGAGTAGCCAATAGGGGAGGGTTTAGGAAAGGTTTCTAGGAGGTGGTGGAGAAAGTTATTTAAAGATAAAGGGGTATTAGTCATCCAGGGAGGATATCCCCGGCAGAGAGGACATCATATGCAAAGGCACTGAGAGATAAAACCACTGGACTTGTGGAGGAAATCACTAACAGTTTGGCAAGGCTGATGCACAGGGTGGGAGGGGGTGGGAAGGCGGGCCCTGGGCCAGATTTTATAGAGCCTTGCTTGTCATTCCAGAGTCTGGACTCTATCCTGGGAGCTAGTAATGAGACTTCAGGAGGGGAGTGACAAGTTCATGTGTGCGTTTTAGAAAGATTATTTGGGCGGCTGTGTGAGGCTAGACTGGAGTGAGAAGAGGCTCTGTTTCAGCGAGCCCGGTAGTATTTGTAGGGCTAAAAAAGGGGACCATTGTTTGAGCAAGGTTTCGGGGGTGGAATGAGCAGACCAGGCCAGACTGGATAAAAGGGAGGGAGGCGCCTAGTGTTCTGGTTTGGGTGATGGGTGGACAGCAGCCCTGCTGCTGAGATGAGGAGCCAGGAGGTGCGGTTGTTTGGGGGTCCGGTATAGCGGGCATGTTAGAGTGTACGGAAGCGGTGCGACTCCCAGGGGAGACTTGCAGGAAGTGGCTGAAGCCAAAGGTGTGGACTTGCGGTCCTCGGTCCTCGGGAGAGCGGGTGTCATTGGGTAACCCTGGGATGCTTGTTTAGAGGCCTCCGGCCCCACCCATCTCCTGAGTGACCGGGGCGGTACCTGTAGTGCGCAGGAAACTGCCACCTCAGCAGCAGCAGGCCCAGGAGGGCACTGAGGCCCAGCACCACGAGCAGAGCGGTCACCAAGGAGATCCAGGCTGAGGGACAAAACCAGTCAGACCTCTGCTGCCCTTGGCCGGAGCCCCGCCCCCAGGCCCGCCAGACCCCGCCCCTCACCGCCCGCCCCTCGCGGCGCCGGCGCCCCTCCACTCGCGCAGCCGCAGAGCGCCTTGCCCCCCGCCGGGCCCTCACCGGTCTCGGAGGTGGTCTCCACGCGCACTGGGTCGGACCAGGCGCTCCAGGGGCCTTGGTAGGTGGGGCCGTGGAGCCTGGCGCGCAGCTGTAAGCGGTAGCGAGAGCGCGGGCGCAGCTCCAAGGTCTCTCCCTGGGCCCCGAGAGGCGGCTCCAGCACCTGCGCAGAGGGGGAGCGAGCGGGTGGGCAGGCTCCGGGCGGCGGTGCCCCGCCGTCGGGGCCTCGACAGCCTGGCATCCTTTTGGCCAAAGGCCTACCGCTTTGAATCTTCGGGGTACCCCCCCTCAAAGAGCCTCCCTGACAGAATACATGCATCCCGGCGACAACTTGCAAGGTAGAGCACCCCGACAGAGAGGCATGCCCAACCTTAGGGAAACACGCCCCGACACACACACGCTGGCACACAGACCTCATGTGCACAGAGAACTAACTACTCATCCTGACACAAATGCAAACACACTGACCAGGTCACGCGGACATCCCGCCAGAAGTGCTCCTCAGGATCCAGGTCAGGCGACGGAAACCCCGGGCACATTCAGATACTCAGGGCCACATAGACTGTTCACAAGTAACATGCATCCAGGAACGGATGCTAGGTGCTGAGGGTACAAGGACAGATTCCGAGCAGAGGGAACAAGCATCATGTGGACAAGCAGGGAGACTAGCTAGCCATCATGTAGCAAACATTTATGAACTACGGGTGATACGCCAAGCACTGGGGAAAGGATAATGAAACATGGTTTCTTGCGAGTCTAATGAGGAACACATGCAAACCAGTAAGTAATTACAAGTAATTAGTGCTATAATGATGATATAAGTAAGGCAGAATGGGCGCATGAGGAAGCATGTCATGCTGCCTGAGCTGCTTGGTTGGGGGTTACAGAGTAGTTCAGTGTGCTAAGAGCATGGAGCATGGATGGGCAGGCGAGGTGGTCAAAGATGAGCTAAGGCAGTGGTAGTAGGGATTTGAAGACTGTTAGTACAATAAACTCCGCTTCTGTGTTGATGAGTGGAGGGAAGGGACAAGGGAGAAGGAAGAAGAGTCAAGGGTGATTCCAGGCTTGGATAACTGGTAAGTGGTAGAGCCACTGTCAGACCGCAAACAGAGAAGTACGTTTGAGGACGAAATACCATATGGTTCCATTTTATTAGGTTCAACAACAGTCAAACCTTATCAATGGTAATGTCTGAACAGTGGTTATCTTGGGTATGTGTGACTGTAAGGGGCATAAGGAGCTTCTGAGGTGTTAGAAATAACCTGTATCTTGATTTGGGTAATGGTTAAATAGGTGAATACATGTACAAATTGATCAATTGTACATATTTTTTAAAGATTTTATTTATTTATTTGACAGAGAGAGACACAGCGAGAGAGGGAACACAAGCGGGGGGAGTGGGAGAGGGAGAAGCAGGCTTCCCACGAAGCAGGGAGCCCGATGCGGGGCTCGATCCCAGGACCCTGGGATCATGACCTGTGCCGAAGGCAGACGCTTAACAACTGAGCCACCCAGGCGCCCCATTGATCAACTGTATATTTAAGATCTATGTATTTTACTGAATGTAACATACCCTGATAAAAAGGTAAAATAATCTTGGGGAGGAGGATGAGTTTAGTTTTGGATATATTGGGTCTGAAATGCCCCAGGGGGCTTTTATGGGGAGCTGTCTGGGAAGAAGTTGTATATACATGTGGTTAATGAGAATAAAAGTAGAGAAAGTAATATTTAATGTATATTGAGTACCTTCTATCTGCTAGGCAGTATGCTAGATATTTATATATATAATTTTTACCACAACTCTGGAAGATAGATAGTTGTATCTCCATTTGACAAAACTGAGACTTCCAAAGTTTAGGTAATTTACCTAGGGCATAGAAGTTCCTTTCCATATGGGTGTTGGAATGGTAAGATTGGGCAGGTTAATGCATAGTCATTAAACTATAAGCTCTTACCTAGGATGAGCATGTATATTTATCGAGAAGAGAAAAGAGTCTAGAATGGGACTATAGGAAACACAACATATTAAGGAAGGGTGGAAAAGGAGGAGCCAGGAAAGAGGGAGAAGGTTCAGCCAGAGAAGTAGTATGAGAATCAGGAGACTGATATCCCAAAGGCAAAGGAAAGAGAAAATTTTAAATGGGAGTAGTCAACAGTGTCAAATGCCCAAGAAAGATTAAGATACCAGTTGAATCAGATCAACATAGATATACAAACCCAAACCCAGATACATGGATACCTTCACTCTTGATAACAGACCTGATGAATCTTAGGAATACCCTGTGTAGTGAGATCTGTGGACATGTTTTCCTCGATCGTACCTTCCAGTCTTGATGGCCTTCTCCTGTGTATCGGAGCTGATAGCAGGTCTCTTGGGCTCCCCAGGATGATGGGTGTTGCCATTCCAATTCCAGCTGCCCACTGGAGACCTCCCTCCAGTGGAAGTTTGGAGTGGGGATGAGCACTACAGGGAGCCAGCAGGGACTGGCCTAAGCCCTTCTGTGCATGAGACATCATGCCACTAGGGCCATGGGTCAGAAGTGCCAGAGCTGGTGGTGATCCTGGGCGTGGGGTCAGGAGCGGTAGGGGCAGAAAGTACGTGGGAGGAGAAGGGAAGAAAGTTCTTACCAGCCTTGTGGATCCAGAAAGGGGAGCCCAGGTAGCTGTGAACAGCACCCTGGGCTGTGGTCACCTCCACAAGGATGTGAATAACACTGTCATTTCGTGACTTGAAGTGGCAGCGGGAGAACTGGGAGGGCTGTAATCCTGGATATTTCTCCTCTTCACACTTCTCCCAGATGGGGTCCCTAAGAATCATCCCCGTAGTCACTGAATCAGGCCTGCCTCTGAGACTAATTCTGATAATTCCTATCCCAAAGGGGATATGGCCTGTGGGGATTATAATCCAACTCCTCCCTTGGATGGGCTTCCAAGGCTTTCTCTCTGTCACTTCCTGCCATGATGTTTTGTTTTCTGAATCTGACTTTGGTGTCCAGCCTCTTCCTCTTAAGGAAAGAGCTAGATGATTCATGAACACAGCCTGGGCTCTACAGCTCAGGTCTTAACTTGGTCTACAACTCTGGTACATGATTGATCTCTGCTCCCATTTCCTCATCTGCAAAATGGGTTAAAAATCCTTACCTCACAGGATTGTTTCAAAGAGCCTTCATCTTTATGGTGGCAAGATCCTCATGTTTTTAATCTCATACAGCAGGCCTGTTAGTCACCTCTCTGTGTTATTCTACTATTAGATGATTACAACAGCCTCCCAGCTGGCTTTTCTGCCTTCATTTTCACCACTCCCTTGTGGAGTTTGTCCTCCACATGGCCGCCAGAATTTGCTTCCAAAATTTTGATCCGATAATGCCCAGAAGAGATCACAAATCTGTCCATTTGTTTGAATCTTTCCCAAGGCTACATTCAATGAGCCACCTCTGTCTCCGGCCTGGATTAAGGCAAACTTCTAACTGGTGACTCTGCTTCCACCTTTAATTCATCATTTCACAGAGAATAATACCTTTTTTAAAGGAAAGTCACATCATGTCACTCTTCCACTTGAAATCCTTCAGTAGCTCCCTATCCCCCCTTGAATGAAATCCAAACTCCATGCCAGGGCCCACAGGACTCGATATGGTTCAGTTCCTCCCTACCTGGCCATTCTCATCTCCTACAATTCTTACACCAGTCTGCCACCCTTCATTTACACGAGCCTTCTTGCTGCGCTACAAATATGTCCCACTCACTGCCTTTGCACTACACCTTGCCCTCGATTGCTCTGACTCTAGATCTCCATGTGACTCATTCTCTCTTTGCCATTTAGGCCTCCTGGTGAGGCCTTCTCTGACCACACAATCTAAATTAGCATCCATCCCCCAACCTCCCACTTAGTCTATCATATAACCTGTTCTTTGGTCTCTTTACTTCTTCGTCACCCTTCCTTTCCCCCCCCTCAACTAAAATGGAAACCCCAACAATGTGGAAACGTTTCTCTTTTGTTTATCACTCTAGCCCCAATGCCTGGCACGTAATCACTCTCAATAATTGTTTATTGAACAAATGAATCATGTCTCCTTCCTGATTGTCATTCCTAAATGGCTAGTTCTTACTAAAATTATTTATTAATGTATTTATGTGTTTACTTCTTTATTCAACAAATAATTAACACGATGTGCCAGGCGCTGTGCTAGGCACTATGAATACATAGAGGAATAATCAAGGAGCTCTCATTCCAGTGGGAGAGGCAGAAAAACAGACAGATGGTATTTTTCTGTGGTGTGGACTGGCTGGTTTGGGGGTTATCAAGGAGGATAATCTAACCCAGATGGGGAGGGTCAGAGAATACTTCCTGGACAAGGCAGTGCTTAGACTGAGTCTTGGACTATAAATAGGACAGGCAAAGGGGACAAACAGGCATCCCAGGCACATGCTTGTGCACAGATAAGAGATATGGGGCTTTGGGGGAAATTCTAAGTGGTATAGAACTCTCTTAGCTTAGAGGGCCTGGTGATGAGTGGTAAATGGGAGAAGGCAGACTAAGATCATGGATGGTCTTATGGCCTTTCTGAGGAGCTTGAACTTAATCTTGTAGTAATCATGGAGACGTGTAAGGATTTTAAACAGAAACTTGTCATAATTAGCATTGTACTTTGGGAAGATCACTGTAACTGCAATTTGTAGGAAAGAATTTGTGAGGACAGACTAGAAGTGGAGAAATCCAATAGGACACTTTTATGGACGAAGGACCAGAAACAGGGTGGCAGCAAAGAAGGTGGAGAAAAAGAGATGGATTCAAGGGATACTGAAGAGGTAGAGATGATTAGACTGTTTCTGATTGGACCTGGAGGGTGGGGAAAAGGCAGAAGTCCATGGAAATCACCATGTCAGGCCTGGAAAATTGAGTTGATGGTAGGATGGGGGACAATAGGAGGATGAGCAGGTTTTGGTAGAAGAAATGATGTCAGTTTTGCTTCCCTTTAAACCATTCATGGCACTTCTAGACTATGGAAATCTGTGCAGTTATTAAAAATAATCAGTTACATCTTTTTGTAATGGGCTCCAAGACACATTTTTAAGTAAAAAAAGTAAGTTGGCAAGCAAACTATATATATAATGTGATCCGATTCATATTGAAAATGAAATGTTGTGTATAGACACGTATAAGTACATAGAAAAACTGGAAGAGAACATTAAAACTGTTAATGGTGGTTTTTTCATGATTCATTAATTTAGCGATTTTTTTACTGAGTAACTGCTAAGTTCCATGCACTGTGGTAGGTAAGAATACATCAGTGAGTAAAAGCAGACATTGACTTTGCCCTTAGGGATCATGTATAGTCAAGATCAGCCCCTCTCAACTGGAGTTCTGAGACAGGATGATATTATCAGTCAAATAACCACATAAAGTATAAATGTAAAATTGTAACTGTGATAAGTACTTAAGAAGGAGAGGTAAATGGTACAGTAAGTATGTATAATAGTGCTATTGGACCTGATGAGGAAGATCAGGGGAGGTTTCCCTGAGGAGGTGACATTTGAGTTGAGATCTGCAGGAAAAGTAGAAGTTAAGACAGGAGGGCTGGGTAGACAGCATGCACAAAGACCCAGAGGCAGGAGAGAATATGGCAGACAGAAGGGGACCAAAGAGTCATAGAGGGGAAAAGGCAGCATAGTGTTAGATGAAGCTGAAGGCATTCAGGGGCTGAGTCTGTTAGTACTCTATAAGGCCACAACAGGGTTTTTCTTCTTCTTCTTTTTTAATCCCAAGATCAGTAGGAAGCTATTGAAGATTTTAAAGCAGAGAGTGTTATGAGAATGATTTGGAGGATTTAAGAGGTGATCGGTTAATAAGTCTCCTCAGTAGCCCAAGTGAGACATCATGATGGCTCATACTAGGGGAATGGCAGTGATGAAAAAATGTGGACAGATTCTAGAGATATTTAATAGGTAAAATCAACAAGACTTGGTAACTTTCTTACACCATACATAAAAATAAATTCAAAATGTTTGAAAGACCTAAATGTGAGACAGGAAACCATCAAAATCCTAGAGGAGAACACAGGCAGCAACCTCTTTGACCTAGGCTGCAGCAACTTCTTACTAGACACATCGCTGGAGGCAAGGGAAACAAAAGCAAAAACAAACTATTGAGACTTCATCAAGATAAAGAGCTTCTGCACAGCAAAGGAAACAGTCAACAAAACTAAAAGGCAACCTTCAGAATGGGAGAAGATATTTGCAAATGTCTTATCAGATAAAGGGTTAGTATCCAGAATCTACAAAGAACTTATCAAACTCAACACCCCAAAAACAAATAAGCCAGTCAAGAAATGGGCAGAAGACATGAACAGACACTTCTCCAAAGAATACATACAAATGGCTAACAGGCACATGAAAAGATGCTCAACATCACTCATCATCAGGGAAATACAAATCAAACCACAATGAGATACCACCTTACACCTGTCAGAATTAACAACACAAGAAACAACAGGTGTTGGCGAAGATGCAGAGAAAGGGGAACCCTCTTGCACTGTTGGTGGGAATGCAAACTGGTGCAGCCACTCTGAAAAACAGTATGGAGGTTCCTCAAAAAGTTAAAAATAGAACTACCCTACAACCCAGCAATTGCACTAGTAGGTATTTGCCCAAAGGATGCAAAAATACAGATTCGAAGGGGTACATGCACCCCAATGTTCATAGCAGCAGCAGCATCAACAATAGCCAAACTATGGAAGGAGCCTAAATGTCCATTGACTGATGAATGGATAAAGAAGATGTGGTGTGTATGTGTGTATATGCCATATATATATGTGGAGTATTACTCAGCCACCAAAAAGAATGGAATCTTGCCATTTGCAACAATGGAGCTACAGTGTATTATGCTAAGCAAAATAAGTCAGTCAAAGACAAATACCATATGGTTTCACTCATATGTGGAATTTAAGAAACAAAACAGATGAACATATGGAAAGGAAAAAAAAGAGAGAGGGAAGCAAACCTTAAGAGACTCTTAATGATAGAGAACAAACGGAGGATTGATAGAGGGAGGTGGGCGGGGGATGGGCTAGATGGGTGATGAGGATTATGATGAGAGCATCTTATGGGGATGAGAGCATGGAGGCCAGTTGGTTTTGGGACAAGGGAGGGAAGTGAAGAGGATCAAGAACAATCTCTCCCTTTCTGCATTGATCATGCCTCTCTCCTATGACATCAAGCTCAATCAGCAGTTCAGCTCTCACCTGTCTCTGGGGCAGCACCGTGCCCTGCTGTGGTAGAAGAAGCCTTGGGAGCTAGCATGGTCCTGTTGCTGCCACTGACAGGTAACATTCTTCAGGTTCAAGGTAAAGCACTGCAGTCCAATTTCCACTGAATTAACAGAAGAAAGTCCCATCAGGGCCAACACATTCCCACTCTATAGGGTATCCAGATTATCTTTACACACATAACTTGGAATATTTACCCCCATTCTTTGTTCTCTCCCTGAATATAGTTCACTCTGTCTGTCCAGTGGCAAGTCTGAGGTTATCAGGAAGGGACCATGGTTCTCAGAGCTGCCATATCCAGTCCAGACCTCTCTAGAGATCTTTTCTATCTCCTCCCCATCTTCCCACTCTTTTGTTGACTCACCTGCATCTCCAGGCAGGTCCACAGTTGCAGGGAGGGACCAGGATCCCCAGGAGCCAAGGAGGGAGACCCCATCGGGTTGGCTGCGCAGCTGGAGCCAATAGGATTTACCAGGCTGGAGCCCTGAGATGAGGCAGCTTCCACTCCTCACTGTTAGAGATGAGGCCTTGGGAGAAGAATCCCAGCCTCAGAATCTAGGTCTGCCTCAACCAAGACAGCCTCCATCTCTTCTATTTGAAGATGGAACTGAAACGCCCATTTCCTCACTGGATAGATATGCATACAGACTAGGGGCCAGGTCAGTGGGTTTTGGGTGGTATTCAGAGCTTTTTAGGGAGATCCCTACTAATTCAAAGGCCTGAAATGCTCAATTTTGTTGGTGTGAATGACCCAAAGTGGGAGATTCCTAAATAGACATGGCTCCCAAGCCCATACTAACTTCCCAAGGACCAACCCAGTCTGGAATCCCCAAAGTATGGCCTATCCTTTCTTGGGGCAAAATTTGGGGTAGGAGATAGGAGGTGGGGCAGAAGAAAGCCAGGATACTTCTCTAGTTGGGGAAGTCTGCTCTGGTCCATCCTGTTGGGGCATCATGGGCTGAGCACATGGAGGCTGGTGCAGAGCTGGGACTGGGTTTAGTCTCTGCAGAACTGGACAGCAGGTTTCTGTGGGCAGCAGCTGCATGACTGTGGGACCAATGGAGTTGCTGGGATCCTTGGGGCCGTAGCGAAGTTCGTGCCTCAGGAAATCACTGATTTCGGGAGCTGGGGTCTCCCAGCTGATCTGCAGGTCCCCTGGCTGGCTCCCACCTGAAGCCTTAATGATATCTGGGGGAGCTGGTAAGCCTGGGGGCAAGACAGGGTACACAGAACTCTCTGAGTGCCACAGTCTATGGCTCAACCCATGGACTGTACAGAGGGGAGCTGGAAGCTGGGTTGGGGGCAGCCCCTGGATTCTAGAAGATCACGGGCCATTGCTTTCTTGGAGGCCAGGGCAAGGAGGCTCCTTATCCTGTTCTCCTTTCCTCATTAGAACAGTGACCTCACTGTGGCTTTGTTAGACTCAGTGCTCCCAAGAACAGGGATCTCTTCCTCTCTATAGCCTTTCGCCTAGCACAGTGCCTGGCACATGGTAGGTATTCTGTAACTGTGGAATGAGTCAATGAATAGGTTCATGATGGGGCGAGGGCACAGGTTGTCTCTGGTGTGAAATGAAATCTAGCTCTGGATGTGAAGAATGATAAGGGGGTCTTGAGGTGCCTCTGGCGGTCTGGTCATGAAGGGCATCCACGTTGCCCTAAAAGAGCACAGACCAGTCTGATCCCCGGAGCTGGACTGAGGGCAGCAAAGAGGGGGGCCAGGGTGACAGGAGGATGGCCCTTACCCACACTATCCACAAAGAGCACCCGCTGGGTCAGAGTCTGATTCAGAAACATGTTCTTCACCCAGAGGTGCAGTGGAAAGAAGAGGCGAACTTCATCCTGGGCTGGAAACTGACACACATATCGGGTCCCAAAGGGGGGCACGCTCTTGTAACTCAGGGGGCAGGCACGGGGCTTCTCCCTGTGGGCGTAGGAGAAGCCTGTTCCACCTACATGGCCACCAGGACAGGCCCTGAGGACCCAGGTCTGGGCCCAAGCCCAACTTCTATTTCCATTCCTGCCATTTTTCTACTCAGTGCCTGGGACAGGTGGGGTTAGGGGTTATGTATGGGCTGGCGCTGGGGATATCCAAAGCACATCTGTTCATTAAGTGGCTACTGAGGGCATGTACTTGGAGTAGTCCTCTGATAGGGCCCAAAGGCAGGGAAGCTCCAGGAGCTGGGTTCAGCTGAGGTAAGGACAGGACAGATACAGGGGAGCGTGGCACAGCCCAGCACATACCCTGGGTACGCATACAGCAGCTGGTATGTTCCATTGGGCGCTGCTTCTTCCTCATCCCAGAAGCAAGTGAGGTCCTCAAATGTTCGAGAGAAACAGTTCAGGGGCTCTGAATCCAAGGCCAGAAAGGAGGCATCTGAGGAACAGTTGGTGAGTTGAGCTCTGGGTGCTCCCAGGCATGTTTATGGGCAAGAGTAAGGGGCTGGTGGGAGCCTCCTACCTTGCACCCCTCCCAGGGCTCCCTCTTCCTGGGTATAGGTGATCTCCACCCTCCATACACCTCACCTTGGCTGGTGACTTGTGCCAGGTTTTGGGGGGCCAGGAGGAGGCAGGAGGTGACCACCAAGAGGGCCCACGAGGGCATCTTCTCCGGCACTGTGTGCCTGGCTTAGCCCATCCTCCCCTCAGGAAGCCGGGCCCCAATCCCCTCCCAGGCCAGCCCCTCAGGTTCCTGTCAGATACAGCCCCACGTCCTGTCCCTGTCCCTGCCCCTGTGGGGCCCATCCAGACCACACTGGGGCCAGGGGCCAGGGGAGGGGGAGTGGGAGTGGGCAGGAGAGTAAGAGGAATTTGAAAGGGAAGATATAGGCCTTTTGGTGGGAGGCAGATGGGGGTTACATTTTTGACCGTGAACCAGAAGGAGACTGAGCCTATGTGTGTGATGATGTCAACTCTTATAGAAGGGTGTATTATCAACAAGAATAGCAACATTTACTGAGCACTTACTAAGGACTTTGTATCTATTGACTCAGCTCATCCTCACAATAGTATTATTTCCACTATGGAGATGAGGAAACTGAGACGCAGAGAAGTTAAAAGATTTGCCTAAGATCACAGAGCTACTGAGAAATAAAGCTCAGGAGGTCAAGCTTCAGAGCCCAAGGGCTAAACAGCTATGCCATGCTACTGGAAGGCATAATCCATTGAGAAATGACTGCTTCACAACCATAACAAAATGGTGGCCATTTCCACTTAAATGGGTTCTGTACCTTTGTGCCCAAACACATTCTCGCTGGAATTGGATGTGCACCCTCCCTGGTGGGGAGCCTCCAGAGCTGCCTCTTGTCCATTGCTACTCAAAGTGTGGCCTGGAGACCAGCAGCAACAGCATCACCTGGGTGCTTGTTAGAAATGCAGAATCTGGGGCGCCTGGGTGGCTCAGTCGTTAAGCGTCTGCCTTTGGCTCAGGTCATTATCCCAGGGTCCTGAGATCGAGCCCCGCATTGGGCTCTCTGTTGAGTGAGGAGCCTGCTTCTCTCTCTCCCCCTCACTCTGCCTACTTGTGCGCTCTCTCTCTGTCAAATAAATAAATAAATAAAATCTTAAAAAAAAAAAAAAAGCAGAATCTTAGGCCCCACCCCAGACCTACTAAAACAGAATCTGCACTTGACCAAATCCCCAGATGATTTGAATACACATTTCAGTTTGAGAAGCACTGGTCTCAGCTCAGCTGTGCTCATCTTCTTCACGTTAGTAGCAAAAGAGTAGGTATGATGCCTTGTGTGAAGCCCAGGCTGCCTCCTGGGAGTGCTGTAACTATGGGTGGCTTTTATGCCACCTCTCAGAAGCTCTGACTCTTGCTGGAATAGGGGGGACCGCATGCCACATGAACTCCTGCATTGAGCCCCTCCAGCCTCAGCTGGGGCTGCCATTGCTGGCTCTATAGGATAAGTGGCCTCAATATCAACCTTTGCTCTCCTCCTGAATTAATGTTACACAGAGATTTGCGGGAGGTGGGTGGGCAGGGAGTAAATGGAAATCCTTCAGCCTTCCTGTGAGGTCTTAGTTTCTCTGACACCATTTGTCTGCAAGAAGTCCCTGAGGCCAGGCTTGTCCTGATTCCTGTCCAGCTCTCGGGTTACAAGGACCAGCTTCCTCTGTCCAATGGATGCCTCCCCCAGCCCCCAATCAAGGGCCACCCAACCTCCAGGTCAAGTGATCAAACCCGAAACCTCAGTCCTCCTTGATTCCTATCTTTCTCTTACCCTACATTCAATTCATTAGTAAGTCCTCTTCGATATTCTTTCAAAATGTACCCTGAATGTGAATACTTTTTACCACCTCCCGCCGTCCGGGTCCAAGTCTGGGCTACTGCAGTAGGTTCCTACCTGCCTTCACTTGTCCCGGGTAGTCTGCCCTCCAGTCCTCCACAGGACAGAGGGAGCTGTTTAAAATGCAAATCAGGGACGCCTGGGTGGCTCAGTTGGTTAAGCGACTGCCTTCGGCTCAGGTCATGATCCTGGAGTCCCTGGATGGAGTCCGGCATCGGGCTCCCTGCTCAGCAAGGAGCCTGTTTCTCCCTCTAACCCTCCCCCCTCTCATGTACTCTCTCTCTCTCATTCTCGCTTTCTCAAATAAATAAATAAATCTTTAAAAAAAATGCAAATCAGACTTCTTTGCTCCCCTGCTTAAAACCCGGTAATGATTTCCTACGGCACTTAGAATAACATCCAAATACCTTCTCAATGCATACAAGGTCCTGCCTGGGGATACAAGGTCCTGCATGATGTGGCCCCTGCTTACTTAAATCTCGTCTCCTACCGCTGTCTTCACTCTCAACCAGCCACAATAACCTCAGTGTGTCTCTCATCTCAATCCTTATCACGCTCAACCTTTTTGCAACATTTGATATTCTCCTCCTTCCTTGGCTTCTACAAAGTATCACATTCTCCAGGTTTCCTCCTACCCCCTGGAACATTCCCTCCCAGTTTCTTTCTTTCTTTCTTTACTCTTTCTCTTAAATGTTGTTGTTCCCCAGGTGTCCTTGCTTTGCCCTTTATCACCCCCCACCCTGGAGTGATCTCATGGCTTCAGTTCCATCTATAGACCAGTAACTCCCACTCTCTTGAACTTCAAATTCTTAGTTACTTATTGGATGTTTCTATTTGTTGTTCCATAGGCACTTCACCTAAATGCACCAAGTCCCAAATGCAACTATCACTAACTCCCAAACACCCTTTCCGACTTTTCTCTTCCTATGTTCTGCATCTCGCCCTTGGTTCCTAGGCATTTAAGCCTGGAACCTGAAACTTTTCCTCAAATCTTCATTCTCCCTCCACTCCTGCATCCAAGGCTTACCAAGTCTGTGACTTCTACAGAGAGACAGTGTAATAGTGGTGAAGGATGCAGAACCGGCAAGACAAGGGGCTTTGTCTGTCAAGAGTTGAGATGGGGGCTCTGCGAGCCTGCGTGAAAGGAGGTCCTGTCCCTGTCATTTCCCCATTTTTCTCTGTTTCCACACAGCTGGGAAGAGGTGTCTTCCCCAGTCCTTTGCTCCTTTAGAATATCAAGGGGAGCTAATAGAAGCCTAGGGGAAAGGAGACCACTTAGGTATGCCCGTTCTTTGGCCAAAGAGTCCAGTAGGCTCCTCAAGGTCCAGCCCAGGACAGCAGGCCTAGGCTTTTCTGTTGGGCTATAAGGCCGAGGCCCCAGCTTAGAAAAGCCTGTATTTGATCTCTGTGCAGCCGTTGCTCAGAGAATTTAAGGGGTTGCTGGATGAGGCTTGGCTCAGGCAGTAAGTCTGTTAAACTCCTCTCTGGGGGCAACAGGGAGCCCTGTTTTGTAGCATTTGCTGCTTTTTTGGTGCAAATACGCCACCACGGCCAATTTCAAGCTGCTAAGATGATGTCGCTCAGTAGTGAGTTGGGAAGAGAATTGGCTCTCCTGAGCGCATGCCCGTCTCCCCATTTCCCCAGATTTCCAACACCAGTCAGACAGTCGGAGAGAGGTAACTCTAGGCCCCTGGATTGTCCACCTCCCCGTCACTTACTTCCCCAACGTTGCCAAACTCCTCTCCAAAAGGATTGTTCCACTTGTTCGATTGTTCTAGCAGGGTGTCAGAGCGCTGTCTTTTCCCCACACCTAGGTCACTGTTGTTTTAAGTATGCTATTCTCATAGTTGACGAATTGTCCAAGCTCCTCACTCAGTGCTTTTTCTGAAGCTCAAATTTGCTTTTATTCTTTCCCTGCTTAAAATCGTCTCATGGCTCCATAGGATCCTTTGGACCAAGACTCATCTCCGGATGCTGGAACACAAGGCCCTTATGCCTTTCATCTTCCCCTTCCTGGAATGTCTTTCCCAAGATGCTCCCTTCACTATTCACAAACCCAATCCCCTTTCTGCTACAGGGCTTTGGTCCCTTGCTTCCCCAGCACAGGACCCTCCAATCTCTCAGCCTGTTGGAACTTGCTTTGTGATTCAAGACCTAACCCCAACTTTTCTTATCCTCCAACTATATGTAACAGAGCAGAGCATTCCTTCCAGAGGCCTTGTAGCTCTTTTGTGATTATGACTCACTTGGTGAGTCTTTGGTCATGGCCTTGGTAAGAAGGAGTGAGAGAGCCAAATTTGCTGAGTATGAAATTAGTGGGGATTTGAGAGTATACTGTGGTAACTCTGGAGAAAAAGGAGGAGGGCTAGTAAGTGAAAGACTGCAACCTGAGGAGAAGAAAGTCTCACGAGTGAGAAATTCCAGTAGGACTGTCGGAGGAAAGTTTCAGCACGGTGATGCCTAATGCCCAGTCTGAAGGGTACTAGCTACTCTGAATTCTCAACGGCCCCAGAACCGCCCCTCCACCCCCCCGCCCCCCCGCCCC